CCTCTCCTGTCCCCATGTTGAAATAAAAATCAAGAGTGAGATGCAGAGGTGTTATGTGTACTGTGTAAACATTGTAGTTCTAGACTAAATATGAGAAGACATGTACTCATCTCACTTGCACAAAACCAGATGCAGTATTCCTCAAATTGAATAAAACAACAATAAATTAACAATAAATGAGTTACTTTTTTAAGGGAGTAACACAACATTGTAACATTACTTTTAAAAATAACTTCCCCCAACACTGAAACAAGTATACATCCGCTGCACATTTGAATTTGGGATAGGGCCTATGCCTGGTCATGAGTGCAGAATATTTTTTTATTTTTTATTTTTTTTATATATATATATGTTCATTTACAGTATATTATTGTTATTTCAAATGTAAAAATAAAAAAAATAACATAAAAATCCTTCCAAAAATGTTAAACAAGCAAAGACAATTATGTTTTTATTAAATCATAATATTTCAAATAAGTGCTGTTCTTTTGAACTTTCTATTCTATGAAGTATATTAAAATAGAAAATAGATATTTTATATTTTAATAATATTCCACAATATTACTAATTGTAGTGCATGAATGCAGCCCTGGTGAACATAAGAAAAAATCTTACAGACTCTGAATTGAAGTGTGTATATGTATATTTCTGTTGCAATATATATATATATATATATATATATATATATATATATATAAACTTTATAAATATATAATGCATACATGTATTAAAAAGAAACTACACATTTTTTGTCATTTATATATATATATATATATATATATATATATATATATAAACAACTGACCCTGAACCTAGTTTGTGAAGATTGTGATTCTTGCATAATACTTCAGATGCAGTTTCTTTGCCATATTTTCAGCTTTCAGTCTTTCCGGCATCATCTTTTTCTTCTCCCTTTTGTCTCTTTATCTCTCAGAACCAGTTCTTCATCAGTTGTGCTGACAAATCCATCCACAACAGCATTGGAGATGCGCTCACGGAGAGAATCCTGCGGGCATACAGGTGCATCATGACAAAAGATACACTTGTATATGAATTTGAACACAAAAAACATCGACGGGCACACCAAACTCCTATTCATTTCTGTTTATGACTCGGCCACAGGGAGGGAAAAAAATTTCGGGTCTATGTGGTGATGCCCCTGCTGCCCGGCTTTGAAGGTGACATCTCCTCAGGGGGGGGACAAGCCATCAAAGCAATCATGTACTTTAATTACAGGTAATTCCAAACATGCGTCTTCTGTAATCACCAAATTGCCACAATTAAAGGCAAAAATGCAGCAAATTACACGTGTGTAATGTGGAAACAACGGTCCCCACTACTCACGAGAGAGACGCAAAAGACGATTACAGCCAGCTTGGAGGCTCAACACTATAGGCTAGATAAGGGGAGTAGAGAGGAGGCTGTGGTAATTGGGGTTCAGCAAGCGTTGTGATTGGTCGGTGAAGGAGAATTAAGACACACAATTGGTGCAAGACAGACAGTGGATGAAATTAAACCTTTCTTTCTCCATTACAGGACAATGTGCAGAGGGGAGCGCTCCATTATTGAGAGGCTCAAATGTGTGAGTAAGTAGACTAGTATGCAGAAATAGAGATTTAGACTATAGCTGTCATATTTGCAGAAATCATGCCCATCAAATGTGGATTGCACAATTTTAATGTGTTATAACATGATCAGGATGATTTGTCTGTGCAGTGGCAGATTGCTGGATCAAGTACATCTCATTCTGCGGTCTGCGCACTCACGCTGACCTGGATGGGCGTCTGGTCACTGAACTCATTTACGTGCACAGCAAGCTCATGATCGTGGATGATTGCACTGTCATTATTGGTCAGCCAATCTCCCCTCTCATACATATAGAAAAATAAAATCGGGTCGTTCTCAGGAAATGGTATCATTTGTGCCAGAAAATTTAATAAATTCATTTCATACACAATTTAAGACACAATATTTTCCCACGTTTTAGGCTAAATGAACCAATAGGTGGAGGTGTCTTGCTTGATATTCAGATTAGTGGGTGACAAATATGATTTTTTATTATTATTATTATTGGCTGATACGCACTACTAAGATATATTTGGATAAAAAGCATATATATATATATATATATATATATATATATATATATTGAAACGCACCCGGTCATGTTGTTTGAAATCTTTAAACTGTAAAACTATTATTCGCCACTAGGGGGCACTGCACTCATACAAAACACTTCTTGTGTGGACATGAGCAGAATAACAAACACCAACAGATGTTTATGAAAAGCGAAGTCACGCCTGTCTCCTCAATCCACACAAATGCATTATTAAAATCCCATTAACGTCGCTCAAATCCTGTCTGTCTTTATCAATTCCAATTATCCTCTTATCTTTATGAATAGGCTTTGAAGAAGAAAAACATGAAACCACTGTTTTTCACTGATATGTCCTTGAGGCTTTCAGTAGAGGTCACACCCAAATACAGATCCAGAACACGCATCCTACACTCCCCAAATGCATTAACCATGATAGTAGGAAAAGGAAAAGTGTCTGATATGTATCTGTGATCTGCTTAGGCTCAGCAAACATCAATGACAGAAGCATGCTGGGAAAGAGAGACAGTGAAATGGCTGTGGTTGTTGAAGACACAGAATTCCAGCTCTCTGTCATGGATGGAGAGAGTTATCAGGCTGGCAGGTTCGCCCTGTCTCTACGGGAGGAATGCTTCAGGTCTGCTTTTCTGTTACACGTGAGCGACATGGCAACAGGATTTTTATTCGCTGTGGGAGGTTTTACAGTCCTGTGACATACATTGTTGATATTTATTGGATGAATCTCACAAAGAAAGAAATGTATAGACATACTAACATAGACATTAAATTAAATTAATGTTTTTTTTTTGCATTTTTGAAATAATTTTGCATGGGAGTATTGTTCTCAATTCTAATGAAAATAATACAGATATACTTATAAAATGTTCTAATCGTAAATATCTGTCCTAAAATCGGGTTTAAGGTGAAACATTTAAATAGGTTGCATTAGGCTGTATTTAATCTATTAAATAATGCTTTATGCTCTATTAAAAAAGGTTTAATTTGGAGTCTGAAAATAACCTCTCATTCTAGACTTGTTCTTGGCTTGCTGGGAGACAACATTGACATCAGTGATCCCATCAGTGACCGATTCTACAAGGAAATCTGGATGGTGACAGCAGCCAAGAACGCCAGTGTGTATGACAAGGTAAATATGTCACTCTGACCTTCCTCACCAAATGCTCTAAATAGCCCTCGATTTATTTTTATTTATTTAATTTTCTTATAGAAAAGACTGATCTTAGATATTTGATTAACCCGGCTCACTCAATAGAGCCGGATGTTTACTTGTGCTCTGATTCTGCCTATTTCCCTTGTCATTGAAATGCTTCAACAATCCAATATACCATAAATATGCTTAAAGGGTTAGTTCACCCAAAAATGAAAATTAAGTCATTAATTACTCACCCCCATGCTGTTCCAACCCCGTAAGACCTTCGTTCATCTTCGGAACACAAATAAAGATATTTTTGATTGAATCTGAGAGCTGGATCAGTCCTACATAGACTGCCTAAGGGACTGGCTCTTGACGGCCCATAAAGTCATTAAAGAAAAGGTTTAAATATTCCATGTGCCTACAGCGGCTCAATTATAAGTTTATCAAGCGACGAGACTACTTTTTGTGCGAAAAAAAACATAAATAACGACTTTATTCGACTATTCTATTACTTCCTTATGGGCGCATGCGCGAGAACTGAGACGAGGACGTTCTCCTTCGACTACTTCTTGTTACTGGCTGCTCACCGCTTAGGAGTATTACCGCCACCTACCGTATAAGATGATGTGCTGATATAGCTGGAAGCGCAAAACTTTCTGTTTACAAGCAGAGGAAGATGCGTGCTGTACATACGCTTTTCAATTAGCGTATTTTCCGCACTATAAGGTGCACTTAAAAGCCTTTAATCTTCTCAAAAAACGACAGTGTTCCTTATAACCCGGAGCGCCTTATATATGGATCATCATCTTATACGGTAGGTGGCGGTAATACTCCTAAGCGGTGAGCAGCCGGTAACAAAAAGTAGTCGAAGGAGAACGTCCTCGTCTCAGTTCTCGCGCATGCGCCCATAAGGAAGTAATAGAATAGTCGAATTATGTCGTTATTTATGTTTTTTACAAAAAGTAGTCTCGTCGCTTGATAAACGTATAATTGAGCCGCTGTAGGCACATGGAATATTTAAACCTTTTCTTTAATGACTTTATGGGCCGTCGAGAGCCAGTCCCTTAGGCAGTCTATCTAGGACTGATCCAGCTCTCAGATTCAATCAAAAATATCTTTATTTGTGTTCCGAAGATGAACGAAGGTCTTACGGGGTTGGTACAGCATGGGGGTGAGTAATTAATGACTTAATTTTCATTTTTGGGTGAACTAACCCTTTAAGCTATAATATTAAGTAGGTGTATCACCATCACCACCTCTCTGTGCAGGTCTTCAGATGTTTGCCCACTGATGCAGTCCTAAACTACAAGATTCTGAAGGACTACATGTCACGCCCATGCATGGCTGCAGAGGACCCTCCACAGGCCTTCACTGAACTGAAAAAAATACGAGGCTTTCTGGTCCAATTTCCCTTGTATTTCCTGTCTGAGGAGAACCTTTTCCCTTCCTTCAACTCTAAAGAGGGAATGATGCCCATCGAGCTTTGGACATAGACTCAGAAACTGTAATGGCTGCCCTTTCTTTTGATGCTTGTCATCTAATGATGCTATATGTGCTGTAAGTAGCATGCATACATTTGTAGAGCGAAAACTACCTCTGAGCTATCCATAGACGCTAGCTTTCCATGTTGCTGTGAAGTCTCAGACAGTCTTAGTGTATATAAACCTTCATTCTTCTGCTGTGTGCGTCCTTCGTCCCTGCAGGTTTATAACTGAACTATTTTAATGAAATATACATGGACACTGCAGCTGTTGTAAATAATTAACTTTGTTCTTTCAGATTATTTCTTTATGAGTGCATAGTTCTTTTCATTTGTTCCTGAAAATGCAGGCACAAATGCTTAAAATAACAACACAACCACTTCAGTTAATATCACAGTGACTTTAAATTTAAAAGCATGCGATAACTTGCTGAAATTCTCAATTTTACAAAATATATTAAGTACACTATTTCAATATATTATTTCAATTATTCTTATAACTTACATATGTATCTTTATTATAATACTTAAACTGGAAAAGTCACAGTCACATAGACACACATATAATATGGTAACATTAAATGTATTGCAACAATGGCTGCAAGTGTTTGCATTTTGTAATTCGTAAGTCCCTAGACTTACAACACAAGGTAATTGTGGACCTTACACACTCCCATGTAATGAAGATGAATTGTGGTGGCACAAAGACAAACATAGAGAACGCTATGGCTTTGGTTAGGTGCATCACATTAAGCATGTGCATTTACCTAACCATTACATCTAGATTATTAGCTTCTTAAATTACATTACATAAACTTCCTGAGGACACATTTCAGCTGCTCTTTCATCATACATATTTCCCATTGACAAAATAATGCTCACTGAAAATTTTCCACACAGTAGTGATCATTAACAATGGTTTTAACCGGTAATGTTTTTGAATGAGCAAAAGGTGGCTTGAACGGGTGCAGGTGGCGCTTTAAGCGACATAGAAACACCTACGTGAAGCCAATACAAAGGATCGCGGCTTACGCTAAGAAGCGAATACAAAAGATTTAGCCGAAATATCCTTTCTTAAGTGGAAAATCTGGAAAATATATGGGCAGTTTTGCTTCAAATATCAATGAGGTCATCACCGCTTTCATCACTTTCCACTGTCAGTTGACGAGTCCACCACTTTTTGACTTCAGACCCTGAGGAGGCCTCGTCACTCACGGGGTTCATCTTACACACCATGGACTTCACACTCGTGCGGCCTGCGGGAAAAACACAGGACTGTGATGTGAGTCACAGGTTAACCTGGCACACACAAACAGGAATATTATATAACATATAATAATTATGTTAAGCGAATGCATGGATCCAATATACTGATACATGTTTTCTCTCTCAACAGAAAACATACAGTACTATGTTTACACGGATTCTTGCCAAGATGGACATTTTGTTTGAATATGTCTGTTCGAACGTAAGAAGACGTAAAAGAGAGCTCAATTCAGTATTCATGTGCTGTGTGAACACACGAACCCTCACACAGAAAAAAACAAATTGATTTACATTTTGCGTCTTCTTGTGCTTTCATCAACAACATTGCTTTGTTAGAATTCATAAAGAATGTTACCAGCGATTGACACCGTTTCATAAACTCACCGAATTTTTACCAGCATTTGGTGCTTGGCGAGTGTTCATTTTAGGCCCTGACAGGAAGACATTTGATAAATTGTTTATACCAAAACAATTTGGTATAAACAAATGAAGAGTTCAGATGCAAAAGCCTCTAAATGCCATTTGAAATTTTCTTCTAAAATGACCAGTTTTATCAAGCTTATATATCCAAGTTCAGTAATTTCACTTACATGACAATTAATAGGTAATCTTCATTGCCATTTAAGTGAAATTACTGAACTTAAATATACAAGCTTGATAAAAATGATCATTTTAGAAGAAAATTTCAAATGGCACTTAGAGGCTTTTGCATCTGAACTCTTCAAATATTATTTTATATTCGCTGCAATTTTAATCATGGCATATATATATATATATATCAAATCATTTGTAATAACTTATAATGTATAGTTAAAATATAATCATTTTCATTTTTACATTTTGAATTGGTTTGCTTCATATTTAAAGGACCGAACCTTCTCAGTAGAGACAGGCAATTATTTATCACCTCGTGCACCACTTTCATATGGGATTCCGCAGGGCTCGATCCTGGGTCCTGTTTTATTTTCCTTACACACGCTTCTGTTGTATACTATTTTTACCAATTATAATGCATCATACCACTGCTACGCAGATGATACTCAGTGTTATGTTCCTTTACATCCAAAGGATGGTTATAGCTTGCAGTGTTTATTTGATTATTCGAGGGAGGTTAAACAGTGGATGTCTGCCAACTTCCTTCAGTTAAATGATTCCAAGATGGAAGTCTCAATTTTTGGCTCATCTAAGTTCACAGAGGTTGTCGCCAGTAAATTGGGACCTTTATCAGGCAATCTCCATACACATGTTAGAAATCTGGGTGTTATTTTTGACTCTGCTTTGACTTTTGATAAACAGATCAATGGTGTGGTCAGAAGTTGCTTAGAATATTGCGAAAATTAAGGCATTTTTATCACCCAGAGACGTGTCTGTGATGCATGCTTATATTTCATCAAGATTGGACTACTGTAATGTACTGTACTTTGGTGTCTCACAGTCCCTACAGTCACGTTTTCAACTGGTCCAAAATGCTGCTGCTAGATTTCTGACAGGAACGTGGCAAAGGGAACATTTTTCGCCAGTATTGTTCTCTCTCCATTGGGTTCCACTTAAACATTGTATTGAGTTTATAAGGGATTGCATGTACTGGGTCCTCCATACAGCTCTGATCTCCTTTCAGCCCACCATAATGTTTTTATAAATCTCAGGTCAACCAGTAGACTACAGCTGACTGTTCCAAGGATACGTCTAAAATTAAAAGGAGATTGTGCCTTTTTTTTTGTGGCCACTTCACAGCTTTGGAACAATCTGCCATCTTATATAAAGACTGCACCTTCATACATTGATTTTAAATCGTTGCTTAAAACCCACTTATTTACTGCTGCTTATGGTCATAAGTGGCTTTAGAGTTATTGCATTGTTTTGTGCATTGTTTATTTGTGGTTTTATGGATACTTGTTTACCGTTTGTACAGGACTTTAGCCAACAGCTGTTGTTTTTAAATGTGCTCCAAAAATAAATATGACTGACTGACTGATTTTGAACATATATTTTAAATTTTCTGCAATATATATATATATATATATATATATTAATCTTTATTTAAAAATAATCTATTATATTAACTTAAAATGTATATTATATTATAAAATATATTATAATATAATATACATTTTATAATATATAGAATAATATTTTTATTTTTTACATTTTGCACTTTAAGTTTGCCACAATTTTCATTTTTACAAAATATATCAAGTACATTATTTCAATATATCATTTAAATGAGTCTTATAACTTATGCATGTTTTAAAAAAAAAAAAAAAAATTATAATACCTAAAAATCTGGAAAAGTCGCTGTCATATAGACATATACTATGGTTATATTAACTGTCATAATGTCTGCAATTGTTTATTTTTTATTATCATTTGTAAGCTGCTTAGGATAAAATCAATAATTTTGTAAATGTAACAAGCATGAATAATAGTAAAAGTATATAAAGTTTGGTATAGACCTGCAGGCAGTCGCCACTGTCCCAGCTTCCTCTGGGGTCGGTCGGCGGAGTCCTGGCGGTAGCCGCTGCGGTCTGACAGAGTGGGGCTCAGTAATGTTTGCAGACCACTGTTCTGCTGGGTCAGGACCAGGAAAATCATTTTAAATCATTTCATTAGAATGAAGACTCAACGACACACAAAATCTTTCAAGAATAGACACTAGTAAGGTTACCTCTGGCTGAGTGGGATTGTCTTGGTTATGTGCGTTGGTGTCCTCACTGGGGACGGTGGTCTCAATGCTGGGAGGGTTGAGCAGGCGGCGTAGATCCTGCTGTTGGCTCTCTCTCAGACTGAGAATGATGCTACATGACTGCTGCTGTTTCTGAAGAGGGAAGGTGATGTCAGTGTTTTCATTCGGTTCATCCTGCATGTCTAATATCAGGATCTATCGCAGTGCCAGTGTGCCAATATGGGACTAATTCTATTGCACAATGACAATAAAGGAAAGTGAGCTGAATATGCAGTTATATCCGTAATCCTATCAGTGGATCTGTGAGAGTTTTATAGCCTTGACTCTGGCCCAGATTTCTTTTTGAGAAGAGATATCAAAGTTCTTTTTAAGAAAAGTCAGTTCACGTGGCTATATATGCAATGCCTCCAAGCAGCTATTTGGGGCATGCAATTCTTACAACCGTGAGTGTTTGGTTATGTTGATGTTTGGTCTAGGCAGAATAGATCTGCAACGCTGCTTTTGCTGCTGCTGTTGGTTAAGACCAATTATAGGACTTTCTACTGCCAATAGATACACGACACATACAATACAATACGCTAAACTGATTTCAGTTAAGTCAGGTAAATGTCATGTTTCTCAGGAGTGTGAGAACCATGGTGTTTGTGTGGACTCACGGCTCGTATGCGTTTCAGGCACTTCTTTAACCACATGCGGATGGTTTGTTTGGCCACCTCCTCCTCTATAGTGTATTCAAGCTGCTCTCGTGCCAACAGCTCCTCAAGCTGAAGACTCTTCCGGATATCAACCGAGCGGTATGACAACATGCTGAAACATACACAACCAACGACTATAGACTATAGAACAAGCTTAGGGACCAATGTGAACAACATAATAGCAATTAATAGACCCTTTCAGATTTTGTTGTTTTTGGGCTGGGGAAGAAGATTATAATAGTTTTGATAGTAGAACTCTATTACAAAATAGGACATTTTAATTTATCATGATATGAAAATGTGCTCTAATAACTATCACAGTTCTTTCTAACCTCAGTACATCATGGAAGGTGACATCTCCTCCATTGTGCAGACGCTCCATCTCATAGCACATGTGTTTGAAGAGGAGCTTATCTTTGTCCAGGTCAACTTCCAGACGACCTCTCAGCAGGCGGAGCAGAAACTTCACCCGAGAGGTTGGAATCACTCCCTATATCAAAATCAATATCATACAGATCTATTGCTGATGTTGGTTTCAGAAACCTTCATATATCATCATAAAAGTAAATACCTGCTCAAACAGCCAAGAGAAAAAAAGAAACTGTACTGAAAATGATCTGTACTAAAAGCACTGTAAGAAAATTATCAGACTATTAGCTACTCTGTTCCTATAATAATAATAATAATAATTTGTTACATTTATATAGCGCTTTTCTGGAAACTCAAAGCGCTTCACATAGAAGGGGGGGATCTCCTCAACCACCACCAATGTGCAGCATCCACCTGGATGATGCGACGGCAGCCATATTGCGCCAGAATGCTCACCACACACCAGCTTACTGGTGGAGAGAAGACAGTGATGAAGCCAATTGGTGTATATGGGGATGATTAGGAGGCCATGATGGACAGAGGCTACTGGGCAAATTTGGCCAGGATGCCGGGGTTACACCCCTACTCTTTCGAAAGACATCCTGGGATTTTTTATGACCACAGAGAGTCAAGACCTCGGTTTAACATCTCATCCGAAGGACGGTGCTCTTTTTGACAGCATAGTGTCCCCATCACTTTACTGGGACACTAGGACCCACACAGACCACAGGGTGCTCACCCTGCTGGCCTCACTAACACCTCTACCAGCAGCAACCTGGCTTTCTCAGAAGGTCTCCCATCCAGGTACTAACCAGGCTCAGCCCTGCTTAGCTTTAATGGGCAACCAGTCTTGGGCTACAGGGTGATATGGCTGCTGGCTATAGTGGGCTGTCTATCTAGACAGCATTTTAAGGGATCAAAGGCACCTTTCTTTTATTAAATTCTAAGGGAGCATCATATGTATCCTTAAAGTAGGCAATCCCAGAATGCTTTGTGATAAACTATGAATGCTGAAATAGAACTAGAAATATATTTATTATAAATTATAATCAAAACAAATTGTTTTAGAGGACCAAAATCACTGACCGAAACAGTGACATTTAATTAGCACTTCTCTGATGATGCATTTTAAAATCCGCCGTTGTTTGAAATAGGGCTAATTCACATTCTTTCCTACATTTAGATATGTGTGAAAATGCATTTTTGTCTCGTTGTTTTAGTTTGACAGGGTTGGCACTAGCTTAGCTTAGCACAATGAATGGAATCCTTTGTTGCCAGCTCGCATGTCCTGAGTAAAAGCCCTTCGATATTTTCAGCCTGTTTGGCTGAAATATCGAAGGTGGGCAGCTTAATGTCAAAGAACTTTACTATGGTTTAATTTAACACAAGAGAACAAGACATTATTTTCAATTTTGGCTTTTGAACAAATGTTTGCCTATGCAGAATTACAATTAAATCAGCTTTGTGAGGTTCCATCACAGTCAGGATGATTCCGAAGCAGATCACTGGATTTTGGATCAGAGCTCACATGTCTCTAATTATGGACCTAGTCCTTCCTGTGTGCTCAGCTGTTACAGTCTTATGGTTTCAAGTGTTTCTAGCTGATCCCATCATAACTCATTAAGGCCAGAAAATGACTGGTGTGCCTCATTTAACTCATATACAGGAGCAGATATTACTAATCCTACAGGGGGAGGTCAAATCTGCATGCACTTCTCTCTGCTGCTCTCAATAAGGCTGTTTCCACCTAATGAAGATGACAGCTCAACACCTCTCACTATCTGTGACAGGCAGTAATAACCTCCAATTACTCTGGAGGTGAGAATGTCGATGCGTGTGATTCATTCATTTGCAGCTTCAGAGTCGGTGCGGAGAGCACACATGGGTATTAACTCAAAATCATCCCCACTGACAGCCGCTGATCACAGGCATGTCCCCTCCTCCTCACCTCCCGCTTGTCATCCACCATGTTCCAAATTATCTGGAAGTGACGCAGGTCGTTGTAGCTTAGCAACTGGTCCTCCTCGGTAGAGTAGAACAAAGAGAAATTCTCCACAATGATAGCTGAGGGGGAGATAAAGTGATTAGGGTTGGGTTAGCTTTCAGCTAGGCTCTCAGTGCTTGAGTATAAGGTTGAAAACACTCTAAACAAGTGTGCAAATGCATATAAATACTTGGCTTATGCATTGCAAGGACATGGTCCTATTGTACACACTTTGTGTTCTTGCATTTCTGTGGTGGTAATAAACCTCAAGGGGGTGATAGAGTAAAGGCCTGGGTATACTTTATTTTATATAAGCAGAGTGTTTTTTTCAGCATTTCTTTCAGACATACTGCTCATCAATAGGACCGAAAAGTTTCAGTTTTGTTTCATTGCTCCACAGAACACAATCCCAAAACTTCTGTGGCTTATTTATATGAATTTGAGCCGGCTTTTCTTGAACTTTTGGGTCAGTGGTGTACGTCTTACACGATATCTGGCATGGAAACTGCATGTGTTTTTGTGCAAGCTGAAACCTCAGTGCCTGTTGACTACAAAAGACCTTCAAGTCTTGCTGCAAGGTCTGTTGCAGTCACTCGAGAGTTTTTCTAAATCGGAGGTTTCTCAGAAATCTGGTTGCAGCCATCAATAGCTTCCTTATTCTGCCCTGTCCAGGTAGTATAACCACTGTTAATTTATTTATTGATTTCATGTTCTGCAATGAGGACCATCTCGATTATTTGATGACTAGAAACTTCAAAAGAAACACATTATTTGAAACTTTTTTTAACATAAAATATTTTCTGGGCTTTTGGCGAATTCATTCAATTTGGCTTTTATTCAACTTCTGAACAATTGAATCACTCCTTGCTAAATAAAAGTATTAATATTTCAAAAATCACAATGACCCCAAATAGATAAATAGTAGTGTACATTTTTATACATTTAAAAAACAGAATTTCACCTCAAAGCTCCATTCGTTTTTTTTTATTATTTCTTTTTTTTCTCCATTTCTTTTTTTATTATTTCTTTTTTTTCTTTTTTATTATTTATTATTATTTTATTTTAATTATTTCTATCAATTTTTTGCAATTCTGTATCTTGCTTGCTACATCACTTCAAACCAGAATAAGTTATATTTTGAATAATTAAATTTTGACTGTTGCACAAGCCAACTTGCAATTTAAGCAGCCTGATGTGAAAACCAGCACCCCACAACATATGCTGGTGACCAGAAAGTGTGCACATCTGTATAGTCCATAAACTAAGAGCAATAGACACAGAGAATAAACTGGCTTTGATTCAAAGCCTCATTCATATTCAGTAGTGACCAGGGCTGAGCTACGAGATAAAGTCTTTCATAGGGAGGAACCTCTCTGTTCTGGGAAAAAAAGGGATAATACACATAGAAGGACGTCAGGAAGAATAATGAGCAGCGATATTGCATTTTATGAGCTAGTTTAGCTAGCATCTAAAGCGGGAAGAAATTAGATTGGACCCTGGGAGATGGAACAGGATATTGTGCCCGCAGTCAGGAAAAAGAGGTGCTTACCTACGAGCAGGTTGAGCATGATGTAAGCAATGATGACATAAAAAGAGCAAAAGTAAATAAGGGCGCCAGCATAGTTTCCACAGTCCGTCTCCCAGTAACGATGTTTGTCCGGGGTGCAGAATGGCGCCTGCACCTGGGGAACAAGGCAGACAAACAAACATAATCAACACATGGGGCTCGCAGCTGATGTGTTTTGATTTAAATAAATCATTCAAAAGTATGTTGAATGAAACAATATGCTGTTTAGTTTTATTTGCAATTCTATTTGATACATTTAAATTATTTGTTTATGATTTTTACAGCAAGGACACTTGCTTGCGGGCAAAATGGAGCTGCCATTCAATCTCTTACCATGCAGTCATGCATGATCTTATTCCAGTCTTCACCTGTGACTATTCGAAAGAGTACAGTGATGGCTTTCCCCGCAGTGGAGAAGTTTGCGTGCCTGTTGGCGAGAGAGGAAAAGGTAACAGCTCATGCAGAGTCATTTCCACTCATGCTGTCAGCTTCACCTGAAAACTGATTCTCCCAAATTCAAGTAGGGCCTTCAAGCAAAACGTTTAGACAACACCAATTATATCAGTGCTGTGGGTAGTAGTAAGTGTGTTACAAATCTTGCCTCTGGTATGCTGACACAGTTAAATCAATGCCTCTGTGTGACATAAGACGGCTCACCTGTTAATGTTCTCGCCATATTTGACAGTGCCGAATAGGACAACACCAGCGAAAGCGTAGCACAGCAACAGCAAGAACATGCCCACGATAATAAAGAAACTCTTATACATGCTGACGACCACAGTTAGCAAAAGCATCTTTAACGTCACCTGTAAATAAATGACAGTTCAGTGGGGGAGGAAATGCTTTGTAAAAATGTTTAATATTTTTACAAGCATAATCATTTACGCATACTCACATGCTTCCCGCATATGGTGAAAAACCTGAATACTATCACACATGTGCCCATCATGTATGTGTAAGCATTCTAAAGAAAGAGAAATAGTAATTTCTTTGAAATATAACATTACATTTAAAGTCAACATAGGTTGAGTCAAAGAGCTTTACTGTACATCACAAAACAAAACCATGAATGTTACATTTAAATCATAATAATTGTAGCTTTTGTGAATCTGAATTCTAACAATAGATCAGATTATTGGTTTTCTACTGTTTAAAAAGTAGTGCATTTTCGGTCTGACACGTATAATAGGCCTCAAATTTCAATTGATTTGGTATTGGAGTTTACTAGAAATGATTTGTATAACAATTGAAGATGTACAAAAATTAAAAAAAAGTAGAGGAAGATTGTTTCCTTTAAGACATGTAATTCATCAGAAGATCCCAATATATAAGCTGTTATTTTCCTTAATTATTTTGTTCATCTGAAAAAAACATCTTTTTGTTAGATTTTGTATTGCCTAATTGTAATCGATCAAGAAATTAAAAAAAAGAAAAACATACAAATAAAATTCCATTGATGAAAATGCATGACATTTTAGTGTGTACCAGTAAAGCAAAGTGCAAAATGATCCATATGACTCCCAGGGATGTGACGAGTAGGTCATATCTGTTTCTCCTGCTCTGCCAGTATCCGGCTGGTGACATAGCTATCAGCTTCATAGTCACCTGCAGCAGAGGAATTCATTATGTCATGATCGTACAATACTTCCAAAAGACCTCACGAACTGCAAAGCCTATGGCGAATTGTTAAACTTTTTTGTGGCTGTAGATAAAGAAGAACTCATGAAAGAACAGGAAACAAGATTTTAAAATGTACAGTAACATATTTACCTCCAGAACAAAAATAAAAGTGAAAACCACAGACATTGTGGCCAAGGGAAAAGTAACCGGGTCAAGTACATCCCACTGTAACACACACACACTAATTAATTTGTTATGTTAATGCTAAAATAGAACAAAAATGTGTTTTGTTGCTGTAACCCTCCTCACCTTAACAGACAGAAGGACAGACTGTGCTAACACCAGCACTGCAATACCTCGCTTAAAAAAAGGGTGCTGGGTGATGTCGTACATTTTTGCACGGAATCCACCATTTTCTGCAAATGCAAGAGAAGGAATTTCAGTTTTGAAAGAACAGAAAATTGGGGCTTTTCAGCATGAACTGATACTGTGGTTATAAAACAAAGACCTGGTCAAAACTCCCTGACCTTCAGAATAATTTCCGTGCTCTCTTTTATCATCAATTAAAGGACTCACTGAGAGAAAATCGTCTCAGCTGTTCATTCAATGCACTCGGTAAGAGCTTTACCCTTGGCCTTGCTTTTACAGATTCGCCACATCATCGTTTTGGTGTCTTTTAGCTGGTCACATGGTCTGAGTGTCATTTATCATACACTGTTATCACAAGTTCATTTCAACAGCCACAGAATGCAGACAGATTATTTGAAGTTGGTTTCTATAAGAGTTGGAATTGATGTGGTTTCTCTGCCGAGTGCTGACTAAGGTATTGATCTTTCTGTTATATCCCTTATTTTAGTTCTTATACGGCATGCACTGAAAATTATTGCAGTAGTATTATTTTAGCATTATTTACATACTATTATAACTTTTATCACAATTTAAGGTCTGACGCCCATACAGGTTTAAAACTACACTGTGTGATTTTTACCCCCATCTAGGGGTGAAAAGGTATATGACCATCCAGTGAATATTAGTTTCTGTTCCTCTCAATTCCGATTTCGTTTTAACTCCTACGGTGGCCAATGTAGTCCAAGATTAACATGGCTTCCAGTTCGACCTCATCCATGGTTGTTAACTCAAACGTTAACGTGAAAGGCGAAGCTTGAATTAACGGGTATGTCCCTCTTTCTCTTTGGTTAATGTACTTTCAAGATGGAGGGGCAACATGGCGACCGACATTAAAACCCCTTACCCGTATGTATTTTCAATAGCATATTATACACTCACGAGAATACTTTATTACTTGAACGAAGTAAATATACATTAATGAGCACATATATTTTTGAAAGAACTTAGTGTTTTTTGCCAAGAATAAACTAAAAGAGTTACACAGTGTAGCTTTAAGGCAGAAAAATAAAGAAGAACCTTCGATGCTTGGATCCCTAAATATTGTTATTAGTAGTGGTAGTAATAGTAAGGATGTTTGCTTTTTGAGACTGCTAAGACGAGCTGAATATGTGAATGTTAATTATGCATGATAGTGGTAGAAAAAGTAAAAAGAAAGGAAGTAAACAACTATTCACAGTTGATTACGATTTGAGTGAAATTAAATTTAAGTAGGAAGGTTGTGTAACTTGCAGAGTGGCTAACAAAATGCATTTTGTTTTGTTTGAACAAAATTAGATTCCAGAAGAGCATGCTGCCTCCATGTTGATAGTGAAAAGCCATTGGTTCAGCCCATTGTTTACAAAGGCGGCATAGATGGACTATTGTTTTGTAATTTACAAAGAACTGTCGCGTGTTTTTCTATTGGTTAAAATGATAATTGAACAAGTAAGACGTACTTAATGAGTAGAAAAGAAAAGTACTGAAAATCTGCCTATTGCAGCCTTTGGAGTTTGGTTGAAAAACATATCAATCAAACATGTCAGTAGATTGGAGCATTTTTTTGTGTCTAATTGCCACATAAAATATTCCTGGATAATTGCCTACTATGATAATTGTGTTTATTCTTTCCTGCTGTTATGAAACAAGTCTTTGAAGTGTCTGTTTCCAGGCGAGCCAACGGCAGTCAAACATAAAAACATAACAGGCTACTGCCGTCACTGCAGCCTGCGACTGCCAAATCAATCAGTCAGTCAATCTACAGGAGACACGGGGAGAATCGCTCTTCTCTCTTTGGCTCTAAGGTGCCCACAGAGCCCAAAGTCATTCATACTACAGGCAGATATAACTTCTGACTCAGAAGTGGAGTGGTATTATTAAGTGTGTGATTGCCTTGGGGGAGTACCCACCGCTGAAAGCTTAAATTTAGTTTGTTCTCTACTATGGCAGAAGAGAGATGATTAAATGCTTCAGGAAACACATGCAAAGCAGGGATGGCTCATTAGCGGAAGAAGGGGAGATGAAGGGAGGGAAAAAAAGGGAAAGAGATGAGAGACTGAGAGGTTGCAGCTGAATAATAGACTCGCTGCTTTGGTGACATTTATCTGCGCACCACCGAAATGTCTCTTTGTGGCTGTCTGATGATTTTTGGATTCAACTAAATATCAAACAGTGTGATGTAGTTTATACTTCAATGCAATTCCAATTTAGTATTATTCTTGCTACTTATATATCTCTGTTGCTCAAGCCTACGATGGCGTCCAAAAGGTAACAGAGCAACATTATGGTGGTGCACAAATATACATTTTAATTGTGGAGACCTCCAGTGAGCACTTACCTGGGCGAGGGGGGAGGTGGAGTGGCTGAGCAATCTTCAGACGACTTTTCAAATCTTCCCATCTTCTCTGATCCACAGTCAAAAGAGCAGTGCCCTAAACAAACACATTGAACACATCTGATCAGGGAACATCCAACAAACATAGCTACTAATAAACCAACAGTAAGAAAACTACCCTACCTTATTTTCATTAAAGTTGGCTATGACAACACCAACAAAAAGGGTGAGCCCAATCATACAGCCCAGGAACACAAAGACGTGGATATAGATGCCATGAATCTGAGACAATTAAAGGTCCTGATCAGTCCAGTCCAGATTAAGCAGTTTGGTAGTATAGAGGTCACTGTTAAAAAAAGTAACCTACCGGTCCCACTCGGTGTATGATGACGTCTCTCACCTCCACCCAACCCTTCAGTGACAGCACCTCAAACAGAGCCAGCATGGCATTGCCCACATTATCGAAATTGAAGTTTCGAGGGTTTGCCCTAAAAGCAGAAGCACAAAATTGTATTTGGGTGAAAGATGAAGCAGCCATTTAATTGTTATAATCCCTGTAAATCAATACCATGTAACCAAGTAATGTGTTCAAAATGCATTTTTAAAATATGTCTCTTACAAGCAATGCATTTTTGTCAACTGTTCTTCTGAGTTGGTTAAGGTCAAGAAACACTGATTAAATGTACCAAAATGTTATGGTTTCTGCCTGCCTGTCTGTGTGTGACTATGTGTCTGCATCTACGGGCTGAACACAAACACAATACCAACTGTAGTGAAACAAATGCCTTATTCTTTTCCTTTTACCAAACAAAGTGCTCAAATATAAAAGTGTGACAACCTCTCTCTCTCTCTCTCTCTCTCTCTCTCTCTCTCTCTCTCTCTCTCTCTCGCGGGAGTGGGTTGTTGTTCCGTGAGATTGCACGTGTGAGAGAGCCAGTGCCTTTTTCTTGGCTTATCTGTTTTACCCTTCCTGTTAGCTAGTGGATTGTAAAGTAAGGAAAGATGACTTGTTGATAAAAAAAAAAAAAAAAAAAAAAAAAAAACAGCCATGTAGTGTGGTTTGCTGGAATTGCATCTCCTCCTGTACAGAAAACACACAGGTAACACCACCATTATGGCTCCAGAATGGGTGCAGGTGTGTATCTGAACCTGGTTTAAATGTTGAAAATGTGCTTTTGGCAGTAGAATAAATAAGATTTGATCAAATTGTTTCTGTGTCAAGTATGAATACAGCAGAGTGAAGTGCTGGTTAATGAGTTAACTGCGTATAGAATTCAGGTGAAGAAAACATTTATTTCGGTGCTCACCTGTAATCAGAAGTAATTACAAAAGAACTCTTTTGGATTTAGAAAGACCGTGACCCCAATGAGATCTATTCCTAAGGTGTAAAAACAGTATGCTGAATCATGTTTTGTCCTTTAGAGGACAGGTGTATATGTTTTTGACTGCACCAGAGAAATCATTGGAAATCTCTGTAACACCTTATTTTATGGTGTCCGTGATACAGAGTAATTACTTACTTAGTAATGAATTACTTAGTAGTAGATGTTGTAATAACATGTAATAAAATGTAATTAACATGTAAAAGTTATGGAACAGCCTGTACTTACAGATTGTAATTACACACATGTAATAGGCAGCTACTGTTACACATAATGTAACAGGCCGAGTCGGTTACATACATCTTACCAACTTGGTACAATGTAATTATATAAAAAAGTACATTGTACTACTCAATGTAACAACAAGTATTTAAATATGTTACTAAGGTGTGAAAAAGCCTGCAGTTCCACATGGTCATTTTGTACCTTTTAAAATAGTGTATCAGTATTGTACTTAAGTGTACTTCATGTATATAAGGTGTGTAGATACACAAGTACACTTAAATACAATCTTTATCCCATGTAAATATACTATGTACTTATTATAGTAACTACAATTACTGGGTAATAACTAGTTCTAACCCTGAACTTACCCCTAAACATACCCCTGTTCCATGTACTTACCTTATCTTAGCCAGTACTTTCTATGCAAGTACACTGTAAGTACTGTACTGTAAAAAGGAAGTGGTACCTAATATTATGTGATTGCAATGTAATTAGGACGCTACCGCATGCATTTATGCTGTGAACGAGGGAGTTAAGCCTAATTTAAACTAAATTACATATGGATAAGGTATGTAGATACCTGTAGATTCCGCAAGTACGACGCGATGACGTCACGAATATGCTAATCAACGTATGATGTCATCTAGCGACATTTAGCGACTTTTAGGGAAGGCGTTAGCTATTTTCATTTGAAAATAGTTGGCAACACTGGTCTGGTGAGAAATGATTTGCGAAAAAATGAAAGCATCGACGTTGATCGTGGGGAATATTCCCTTCGAAAACAAAACTCAGCCACTATGTCTTCAGCGGTTTGGATTTAGGAACATCAAAATGACTGCTGTGTTTGTTATTACACCCAAGAACAGAACACCACAATCGCTTAGACGCCATTCTGATCCAGTGTATCAACAATAATGGACTATGATGACAGCTCAGGCTGTTCTGAAACACTGCTCTCAATCAACATTCGTGGGAGGGGCGTCCGACCGTGTGACGTCACACGGTCAGACAGCTCGATTTGAGACAGGGGAAAAGGTGATTAAAAATAAAACACTGGATGGATTTTTATCATTATATGATGCTTGTGTACAAGCACTGGCAACACACATTTCAGTACAATCAACTTGTAAAAGTGCATATGACCCCTTTAAAAGTAATGTAGTTATTTTTCTGTTCATGATTCAGTAGATTATTTATTGTAAATAAAAGAACTTTAAAGTCTAACAAATAATTTGCCATTGTGTTGCCACAAATCTCTAGAGCAATAACAGACTCATTGGTGTGTGGGTGTATGATTGTGTTTATGCCTGACGGAAAGATATATCAGCCCCCTGCTCTGTGCCCACGACAAACCGTACAACTGTACTGGGAAAATGCATATGAAAATGTGGTGCTGTTTATACGATGAGAGCATTCATCATACTGGTTTGTGCTGTCACAGATGAGACGTTACCACAGATATTTCTCAAAAACACCTTAGTACTAAAGGTGTAACAGGTTCAATTTGTTTTTAATTATTCAGTTTTCAAAATAAATTTTATTTGGTTTGTTTGTGAAAAGCAAAAAAAAAAATAATGACCAAATACATGTTCTCTTTAAATGTTCTGATTTCATTGGTCAAGTTGATATCAAAAAGATCATTTTGTTTTGCTTTAATTGGATGTTAATTTTTTTTTTAAAAGTACAAAAGTCCCATACAAAAGTCACTGGTAGCCAGAGCATTCCTATGTGGTTATTTTGTTCTGTGCAGTTGCTAAGGTGTTCTAAGTTGTCGCTAAAGTATGTAGCTATGTTGCTGTGGAGTCACTGTTTTCTTCTGATGAGTTCTTAGAGTATTCTGAGTGGTTGTCAGGGTGTAACAATGTGTTTGCTATTTTGTTCTGAGGAGTTTATAGAGAGTAAGTGGTAAGTGGCTTGATGAAATTTTGGTCCCTACACATGACTCAGGTTCTTTATTAAATGTGCTTCTATTGGTTTGTATTCCCGGTTTATCATTAGACACACACACACACACACACACACACACATATATATATATATATATATATATATATATATATATATGAGAGAGCATTCTTGTTCATACCAAACTCTTGGCACCCAGAATCCTGGTTTCTTCTCCCCTGCCCCGAGCTTTAAATTCAGGTTTTTTGAAATGCTCACATTGATTCTAAAGATGCCGTGGCAGTCTTCCTGAAAAAGTCCACAAAGCACAACATTTTAGTGAAGTACAGAAGAGCCTCAACTCTGAACACAATTTAAAAAGTTGCAAGAATTGCCTTGTACCTTACTAGAGATATGGGGATCATTACATTTGGCAAGTTTTCCAGCAAATAGTTGTACCCCAAAGGTTGCAAACACCAGCATCAGTGTCAGAAGAAGAATGGAGACCTGTTTGGGAAATCAATAATCCAGTCTACGGCAAAATGGCTTTCCCACAAAATCTGGTCAATGCATTACTTTCATATACAGTAACACTATAATAAGCTCACAGGAAAGTACCCGAGGGGAGCAAAGCTTTAATAAAGAAGGTCCATAAAGAAATCTCCAGGACAAATACTGCTGAGTTAGTCTATTACATTCCACTACTGCAAAGAAGAGAGCTTCTTATCACGACGAATTTAAAATTAAAGAGTTTGACGTACTATGTAAACATACACTATTATCTACTGAAACAATGCACAACCAGTATATTTATCTTAGTAGAATGAACAATCAAATAACCAGTCATCTCTGCTTTCTGCGTTTACAAAGTGACTAAAGGCAGGAAGTGGACCTGTTTGCTTACTCACCAGGAAGATCTCTTTGAAACCCTTGAGGACTTCTCGAACCACTTTCCTCATTTGCGGCACCAGTTTAAAGATACGCAGTGGGCGTAGGCAGCGTAGCATCATGAGAAGCTGGGCACCAGACTCAGGGGGCACATTGTTTGGTAGCCAGCATAAAAAGATCAGACTGACCTACAGAGTGTGCAGAAAGATCACCTTAAAGGGCACATCTCTTCCATGATTCCAGATCTTGAATGTGAAATGACAAACTGCAGATGATTTTCTGATGGTTCATTTATATTGCATTATTATAAATGCAATAAGTATTTCTTATGAAACAGTCAGCATTGGAAGTGTAGGCTGTTCTATTAAATGCAAACAATGTTTATGTGAAACTGTCAGAATTCTTTTAAAATAAGTAAACAGGATGAAATTGATGTGACTGGGTCATTTAAGTAAAGTACTGTTTGGGGTAATTTAAAAAGGGATCTTCAGAGCCTCATTAGAGAAGTGAGCAATCAGATCAAAGGCTGCCATTCACATGCATCAGAAAAGTGGGTTTTTCACAGGAGAGGAGCTGAGATTGGAGTTTTACTAAATAGATGAAGATGTCCATGACGCCACCGAAGTCTCGGATGACTGCAGTGGGAGTGAAGAACAGACCATCTGCCATGATCTTCAGGTTCAACTCAATGCTCATGAAGATGACGAAGACATATTCTCCGATCTGCAAGGAAAGGTGTTGTTTGGTATACATACAATGAAAATTAGTGGTATTTCATGCATTTCAGTGATTTTACCACAGGTATGTGGTGTTCTTAGCACAACTATGGAGTGAATTATGTGCCAAAAATTAAACAAACAAATCCAGCATTTTGCAAACAAACTCATTCTGCAAACTCATGAGTTACTTCATCTTCTAAAACAGTAGTGGGCGCTAAAATAGGGGATTAAGTTAGCACTAGTCTCCCGGGAGAAGCATTGATTTGAAACCTCATGATTGCCCTTGGCGCCGGGGCCACCGGCCCTGGAGAGAAGTGTTACTAAGTGCTAATGTGGATTTCTGTCTAGATTTGTAATAAATATTTAGCAAAGGAAAACCTGAAAATGTTTATTATAGATAAAGACAGAAACCTTTCCCTCAGCTGTAAAAATCAGTGCTTCTCCCGGGAAACTAGCACTAAATTAATACCATATTTTAGCACCATCTATTGTTTTAGAAAAGGAAGTTACTCATCTGCATTTGTGATAAAATCTGCCTGGACACATTTGTGAGAAAATCAAGCCAAGATATCTCACAATCATAACAGACAGATATGCATTTGTATACACTAGATTTGATATTTGTTCAAAGGTTACGTGCAATTTGTAGGATGTTTTGTATTTATTTGAGAAATATTATCAAGGATCATTTATTTATATTTGTAAAACACAATATTGGTTACTCCACTTAATTTTCGCTCAAATTGACCTTTGTTTTTGCAAATTGCATTCTGTTTGTTTGGAGTCTAGTTTTCCTTAGCAAAGTAGATCAAGTTTGCTTGCAAAATGCTGGATATGTTTGTTTAATTTTGGCACATAATTCACTCCATACACAACACAAGGCAAAGTGCCAAAAGCCTGTGTTAAATTCCAGCAAGATAGAGCTTTGAGTGGCTTATTTATTTTAAAGTTAATTTATTTGCACTTTATCAACAATTCTTCTACAAAGTAATATTAGTTAATCAGTCTTACAGTAAGCTATATATAGTTGCTAAGCAATGTAGCAGCATTAATAAAGAGCATATGATCACAGGTCACCTATTTTAACGATTTGAAACGCAGGTATCAAGCGCGAAGCGCAAGTAAAGGGGTTTAAAAGGGGTTGATCTGAAGTAGCTTCATTATTCAGGTGTGGTTTGGGCGTAATGGGAAACAAACCAATAAGAGCGTAATATCACATTCCCTTTAACTGCATGATGAATGAGGAGTGCTTTTTCCATGGCGCAATGTTATTATAACAATGCATTTACCAATTATTTATCATTTTGTAATTATTTTTACCAACAAATCAGTAAATATTAAAGTGAGTTTCTATGTGAAAGTGTAAATGACACACACTAGTACTATTGAAATGATTTTGGGGAACAAACAAGCTCTATATTCAATTTGTAGCCAGCAATGTCAATAATATTTCCTTATAACAAAAATACTCTAACTATAGGTCATAACATTTCCTTGTTTGTTAGCCAGGTTTTAAAACTGGGTGTCGGGACAGAACTAAAAGAGACAGAAGACTATCAAGAGCAGCAGGTCAATCAGTTCAATCTTTCTGTATCATAAATGACAGCACAAAATCTTTGAAACAGAGGCACCCTATTAACACTCACATTCAAAGTCAACAAAAGTGAATTCCAAAGTAGCCTAAATCAGTGAGAATCATGACAAAAAGTGCTCAAAAGTAAAAACGCAAAATTAGTTGGGAGTGGCAATCAAAAGGTGCTGGACTGCAACAGAAATGAGACATGATGACCAGCCTTCAGGAAAGAGATGAGGAATATTTGCAGGTTAAAAAAGTTAGTCAGATGTTTTGTGTGGGATAGAATGGTGGCCGGTTGGGTTTAGAATACCTGCAGGGTAGGGACATGCATGACCCTAGTAAAAGGGGACTCAAACATCATGGAAATACAAGAGCAGATGGTGACCACGATCATCACCCAGTCCAGATAGGTTACCAAGCCCAGCAAATCACTGGAGAACACACAGACACACACACACACACATGCAAGCTTTAGTGTAGGTTGAATGTGCCAAAACGTGTTTTTTCTACTCTGCATTTTTCCTACTCTTTTCCTACAGTCTGAGTTTATGTAAATTTGTGTTTTGCTTTGTAAACTGTCTTAATTTTGCAGATCTTTGGAACTGGTGAAATCCTTTTTGGACAATGCAGCTGAAAAGTTTTCATCTAATCCCACACTAACTCACCATGGCAAAACTTAACAAAGCCAATACTCATATTCAATTTCTAGTATCAAATCAGACATATAAATTAAGAAATCTTAAGGAAACCTTTTCGACCCCAAACATTTGAAAAAAAGAAGAAGAAGAAGAAAAAAAAAAGAAATGCAACCATTTTAACATTATTCTTATGACAATGAAGCACATTTCTCCTCCATATTTTCATTGATGTAATGCTTCCATTTGTTGTTTAACTTTTGAGTTTTTTGTACTTTTTTGGTATTTTTCACTATTTCAAAATAAATTAAATAAACAGTATTTTACAATTATATAATGTATTATTTCATTTGCATTACATTTCAGTAATGTAAGTGTATGCTAAATTTCACTAAACTATTGTAAATATGAAAAAAAAAAAATACATTGTGTATATTATCAGGCTATCATAGTGCAAAGGCCCTAAACATTTACAGACTTACTATAATTGATGGTATTTTGTGCTGTTCACTGCGCCTGTATTGGGATCCGTTTTAGACCTATTCATAAAAAGCCCATTAACACAGTGTCAGCAAAGAAATGGAAAACACATACACACAACAGTTTGTGAAACAACATGGCATTATTTTCTGTGATTATGGTACAAAGGGATTAGTCATCTCATTGATGCAGATGAAAATGCTACTGTATCTAATAATAATTTTTATTAGCTTTGGGCTTACACATTGAAACGGGCCCGCACAATCATTCGGCAAAAGTTTCGGAAGCGGTGCTCTCTACCAACGATGAAGAGTGGCTTGTCAAAGTATGGATGGTTTTCCCGAAGTTCCTCCTCTTGGACTTTTCTGTAAATTAAGAAAAAAGAAGCCATATAGTTAAATCTATTTGAAATCTCATCTGCTGCAAACACTGTTTTGATCAAAAATAAGTATAAGTTCTTGGATGCACAGAAGGGACCTTATTAGTTCTTAAAGCTTGTCAGAATATTTGTTTATTATTTGTCCCTCTCTAGATGGCAAATTTTTTTTAATTTTTTTTTTTTTTAAATACAACCAACCAGAAACAAAAGCTTTGCTTTATTGTAAAACGTATTGATGTCATATACCAATGGTACTGTGCCACCATCAGCATACAGTACAAGAGAACGATAGGGTGCAATAACTCTCACATGGCATGTTTTGTTTGGGGAGAGGGGGATATTAGATACAATCTGTTCAACAGACCACATGCCAAGGCAAGTGTATGGAGTAGCAGAAATACCGTTTCATCTCAGCCTGCTCCTTTTTCTCTTGTATCATCTTGATTTCACTGTCCTCACGCTGAGCGTTACGGTAACGGACCGTGCTGGAGTGCTGCAGAGTTCACAAGCATGTCAGAGATAGACACAGATAGCACTGTCAGCTATTACTCAATGATATCTGAGTGTTTGTGTACTCACATCCTGAGTGAGTGTTTCCAGGGATTTCCCTCTGCTGATTCTCTGGCTAGTAGAGCCATGTCTGAGGGACCTGTGCCAAAAAGAGCAGATTAATGCAGTGCACACTAACATATTGTAGTGCACTTTATTGATATGCATCCATCCAGTGCTTCTTTAATAAATGAAACAGCTGAGTATGTGAAAGCATGTTCATGTGCTTTCCTAACCGGCGCTCTTGTCGGATGTGATGCTGGACACTGAGTATGGATCTCTCTTTAGTTGGCTGACCCTCAATGGAACCACTTAGCATACGTTGTCTGGTGCAGGCTCTGAAAAAACAAAAACAAAAACAACAACAAAAAAAAAACAGACAATCCATAACTAGGTCAAGTTAATAAATTATGACTGTCCAGACAATATTAAGATAACTTTAACGGTTAACTAACTTTCATTAGAACATGTATAAAAGTTTTCCTTATCAAAAACAAATAACTTTCTCCGTTTAGATGTCACATCCTAAATTATTTTCGCTGAGTTTTCTGTTTCACTCAAAAAATAAGTCACATTACAAAAGCTCATGTCGTTTCTAAACTAACACATTTGTTTGGGTACAGTACTCTCCCTGCTGAAAGAGTTTTACTAACTTTGAACGTACAAGATTATGTAATGATCATCAGTGAACACCCTGTAAGCTTTGGCACTATTGGTTGTCATGTACCCTGTTGCACATCCAACACAGCAGATGGCTCTTATTTGCTTATACTGTGTTGTGCAGGTGGAAACAGTTCTAAGGAATGGGGTGCCCAAATGGTAGGATTCTGTTCTGTTTTTGTTTGGTTCTGTCATACTAAGGCCCTGTTTACACGAGAATGCTCGCGGGTGAAAACGTAAAAATATTTTATCGGATGTGCCTTTCGTTTACACGGCCACGGCTTAAAAACGCAAAAAAGTGAAACCACCCTCCAGAGTGGAAATCTTAAAAACGCTCCACCGCCGCATTCCCGTGTAAACGGTAAAAACGCAAAAGTCTGCTTGACAGTGAAGGTTGTACGCAGGCGTGCGTGCATTGAATTTCACACACTTTTGCGTCACCATTTGCACGCGGATTTCCCACACAAAAACGCTCATCTAAACGCAGAATAAAAAGTGATGACACAACGCCACTTTTGCGTTTTCTCTGTGTAAACATAGCCTAAGTATCCATGTCTGTGCCTGTTTAATTCTGTTCACCTGTTGCTAATTAACTCGTTGGTCCCCTTGTTTAGTCTTTTTTTAGAGTGCGTTTACACGACAAAGATATGCTTAAAACGGAATAGTTTTTCATTTGAGTTATCCGCGAACAGACGAAACCATGTCAAAACGATCCCCATTCACACGAATCCGTGAACACGAATAAAACCCTGTATTGTGCTGCCATTAGATGGCGATGAAAAGGACATTAGATGACAATGAAAGCCTATAGATTCAACACGTAATACGTGCATCGTCTTTGGAGATTTGCGTTTTTGTTGTTTACACAGAGAGCGTTTTCAATTTTCCTGTTGAAAAAACCCCAAAACGAATCACTGTAATTTAAAAGAACGACCAAAACGCATAAAAAGTTAAAAGTTCATAAAAAGTAGTTGAAAGTAGTTTTTTTATTAGTAGAAAACCTGTAGTGTTTTTGAATTACCATGCTTTCCACCCTCATATCCCCCGAGATGAGAGATTTGTGTATTTTTTGTCGGCAAAAAATCCGACATCCGACTGGATTTAAAGCCAGAGGCTGAAGGCTATTAGCAATAGGGGCTGTCCCGCATGTTCTCAACCCGCCCATAGACGGTGGGATCTCACTCACAGAATGTACACATAGTGTCAGTCATCTGTTTTTGGAAGCTAAGCTAACAGGCTCTTGTTCTGTGGAGAAAGCTGTGTAGTAGGGGTTACCATCCTCTTTTTCCTGGCTGTCGATGTCCGGGATTCAGCTTTTGCTTTCTGTAGTCGCCATTCATTGTTTACATGCACACCTTTTGTTTCAATCTAACTGTATTCATTCCGATTGGTGAATTTGAATTTAGTGTTTACATGAACGCTAAACAAGTGATATTCTCGAAACACATTTTCCGGCAGACTTATCACGGAGACTCACTAGTAGCCTAGACTTGTTGTTTAACTACTGCACTCTGTTATGAGTAGGCGTGGCCTCCTAGGGCAGTGAAGTGCATTCTGGGAGTTGTTGTCTTTCATCCACATAGATTTTCTTTCTTTTCTCAGTCTAGAAAGCTCCAAATTCAACAAATAATTTCATATTTCTTCTACATAAAAGACCCATTTTATATACACATTCATCTTTTTCCAGAGGTGAAGTATCCCTTTAAGACTACGTTAAAGGGTCATGAAACCCCAAACCAAATTTTCTGAGATTTGAACAGAGGTATGTGTATTGAACACCATTGAAGACAATGTTAGCATCTGTTAGATTTAATAGTAGGGCTAAAATAGTTAAATTAGTTTTTTCCCGTTTTTTTCGTCTTCCGGTTTTAAAATCTTCATCGTGTCCACGTCACAGGCTGTGACGAAGCCATGCACTGTGAGTGCGTTGATGACTCATCGGTGTCTCATAATTATTAATGAGACGGAGTTTTCATACTATGAGAAGAAACAGTCTCTTAATTATTCATGACACCACGTGGAACTTTCCAATGACAGACATGTCAAACTGTGATATATTGCATATATAATAGATGAGAGAGGCAATCATGGGACGCAAGTGTTTGTTTTCAAGGAGCAAAAGTTCAAGTGGGTTGAATATGAATATGTCCCCGCGATGCTGCACGGGCTAGACTGTGGCTCTGGACGATTGGTTTGCCATCAACCACTGACACATCTAAACAGTCTATGATCTAAACTATAGTGTGTGCTGCAAACATTTTTTTGAGAGAGCTGCAAGAAGTGGAGAATGGTGGACTTCGCCTTGTTGACAACCAATCCAAGTTGCATCTTGCGAGTGATGCGGTACCAAGTCCCGAGGACTTTTCTCTCCCTTCAGAGGTGTGTGTGTGTGTGTCTAAAATGAGAAGTCATCCACCTCCGCAGAGCTATCTTTATTATGGGGGTTTAGGGGGCATGTAGATCTAGGCTATGCATGGAACAATTTCTTTTTACGGAAAATTCATAATTTTCAAATGCATTTATAGAGTGTCTATATAAACCACTATATATTTTATAATGACATTAGAATTATACATGTAGTCTACATTAATATGTTTTAAATAGAATTAAGATTACTGTAGGCCAATATGTAGCAGGGCATTCAGTTACTTTTGAAAGGAAAATAGCCACTCAGGCTCAGCCACTCAGAGGTGTGTGCGTGTGGTGGGAAAATAAAATACTGCTTTTGCACAAGAATACTTACAATAAATAATGTGATGTGATATGAACTCTAGATTTGAGGTGTGAAATTCTGATTTCTGGAAAGTCCAGCAGGAATAGTAATTTTCCTGCATTTTTGTACCATATTTTTGAAGACCCATATTTTGTGTTTGTGACAACTGCTTAAACAGGTAACAAAACCTGCAAAAGCAAAAGATATGTTGAGATGAATTGTAACTGGTGTAGCTATTGCTATAAATGGTATTGGGAGATTGTACCGCCGCTGAGATCCCATTGGCTGTTTATGCTCTGAATCATCTATGCTTTAAAAACCCTCCTGCTCACCACCGCCTCTATATTGTCCATTAATTGCAGAGTCATGTACCAGAACACAGCTAATGACAATTTCAGCTTCAAGAGAACATGTCACCCTTATTTATGGCCACTCAGAGTGATGAGTGCCTGGCTGATGAAGAGTGTGTGTGCGTGTGTGTGCATGTGTGTATGCAGACAGACCGAATGCCCCAGACGGCACAGACGACGTGGGATGGCTACTGATGTGCCGTCTGTCTGCTTAGCAGCAGGAGGAGGGGTGGACAAGGTGAGGTGTATGAGTGTGTGTAACACAAGGGAGGTGGGGGACGGCATCAACGTGACCTGAAACTTAACGACAGAGACGAGAACGGTTGAAGGAAAGTGTGGGAATATCTGGCTGCATCGCTGCCAGATTTTAATATCTGAATATGTTCATTCACGCTCACAGGTGACCCACTAACAGTAACAGTGATACGGAGACGTCATTATCTGCTTTGACTGCTGGGGTGGCTGGATGACAAACATGTCATGGAGTCAAAATCATGGAAATTAAGGGGTTGAAATGAAAACATATGTATCCTGTATAGGAATTAATTGTTGTTGCCTATGGCAGCCAGAGAAAAGCAATGCTGTCCATTTCAAATCACAAAGAATTGCATGTCTATATTATGAATAAATATCCTAATACAAATTCATTTCAATATTTCTGCTTGATAGAAAAACCACTGGGTCTCATTCACTAATTGTCTGTATGTCTACATGAACAAATCTACACATTAAAATGACAAAAATCATGATTCATTCATACTGTAAATAACATTGACATTATTACAGATCGATTTGGACTTTTTAAAATTAATATATGGTGTTCATTTTCTAGCCCTGCCAGGATAATGCTAAGCATAATATCAATATCAGCCACTGAAATAGAATGATACAATTAAAAAGAAAAATCATATAATAAAATAAAGCTGACAAAAATCAATTTGCTGAAAATCAGAAATCTCACCGCAGGATTTTATTGACAGTGGTTTCCTTTTCTATGAGGTTACGGGCCCGGATGCTAAATACTGACTTTCTGAGCTAGGAAGAAAAAGAGGTTTACACAGTAAGATGCACACAGATCAATAAGCAGTATAATTCAGACATATACATTTACAAACAACTACTGTATTATTATGTGGGTAAAGCTCAATTTTATATCAGTAAATAAAAGCATCCCAATATAATCAACAAAATATGGTTATATAACTGCAGGCTATTTAATTCTTGTTGCGTGGGAAACAGATCTGTTCCTTTCAGAGCATTCATAAGCTTATTGTTTAGTCCCTGTGTAATGAGGGGGTGGTTATGTGGGAGTTATGGAGTGTGGTACCTTCTGATCTATGTATTTATTATCCTCAATGGCAGACCTCTTGGAATGGTCGCAGGATGAGGACGATGCTGAAGGAAGGCGACGGAACAGACAGCTGGGGTCCTGCTGCTGTCGGTCGATGAACTGCTTCATGAAGCTCTCCCTGTGGCACACGCCCACGGGCACACACATAACGAAACAGACACACACAAACACACAAGGGACTTTATGTTTTCAGAGGATTCTTGAGGACGAAGTAGGAGGCATTCAGTGTAAAGGAATAAGTATATTTGCAAGGATGTGGGTTTGTTTTTAGAAGATTAAATCTTGTTTAAATTTTTTTTTTTTCTGACAAAGTTCTGATTGATGGTTTCCATGGCATTTCTATGCAATTGAAAAGGCATTCTAAAAAGGCTTTTAGCATATAGCCACAGTAGCCGATTGAAAATCTAGATCTAGTTGCTTGATAGTCGAATACACCACCATAGAAGCCCAATGATACTTTGGCTCATATATATATATATATATATATATATATATATATATATATATATGATACAACTCCTGTAATGAGTAATCATCCATCAAATGAAAAAGTCTGATCATTATGAAAAGTTAGCACACATGTATTCAACAATTCACTAGATGAGGTATCATTCAGTGCACATAGTACCTGATTCTGGGCACAGTAAAGTCTGAAGGCAGCTTGGATATTTTCACCATCTGTGGTCGATTGGGGAACTTCTCAAAGATCCGTAATCTCAGAGGAAGTTTCTCTTTCGTATCAGCATTGGCTTCGCTCTGTTTCAGCTGTAGAAGCCAAGAGACTCACTTGAAACAAATGTTGCATTCTGTGACTCAACCGAGAGACACTGATACACATTGTGTTTTCACACATAGCTTTCAGACATTTGGTAGACAGTCCAAATTTGACATAAGTTATCCATCTCTACTTCTGATTACCCCTTTAGAAAACTCAGCCTTCAAGTAGAAAGCAAAGAGTGTACTGTATTTTAAATTCAGTTCCTCACTTCTGCTGGTGAGAGAGCAAAGGGTTAGCCTGTATGGTACAACGCTCTGAATTAATGTGCCCCTCTGAGGATTAACTGACTTCATGTGCCATAACCTTTTATCTTTCCCCATGTCTATCAAGCAACATAAAGGCCTCGGATGATTAGGCCAAAGCACACTAGAGGACCACTTCTCATTCTCCTGTCAGAAGAGATGAATAAATTAAAGTGAATAAGATAAAACCAAGATGACAGATTGCTTCATATTTCCTAAACATGCATATGAATACACATTAAAAACATCTACAGAATGCTCTATTGATATAAAAAAACAAACAAATGAAAAACTACAATTTGAACATGTAACTACAATTTTACTCACTAAAACAATAACACTAATGCAAACAAAACCCTAACCATATCAACATTTGTTAATTGATTATTTTTTTAGAGAACAAGATGTCTGTTTGACAGATTTTAAAAGCGAAACATAATGTCAACAGAGTGCTGTTCTGCTAGGCTGTCCAAAGATGGCAGCAGCGCACAGCCTCAACGCAATTATCCATCCATTACCATTATCCAACAATGACTGTCAACTTATAGTTTTTTTTTTTTTTTCAGGACCCAAATTTTACATAGGCTAGACATCAAGTGTAAACCCAATACAGCACCAACACTGTTTACCATGCAAAAAATAAATCAAACAAAAATGTCATTATAACCTAATGTTTATTTATTTATTTTCATTATTATTTTTTTAAGCCAAAAGGCACAAAACAATGATTGGCCCAAACTATGTTTTTTTTTTTTTTTCTTTTTTTTACAGCAAATTTTGAAGTTTTGTTTAAATGATATTGATGATGCAAACTATTTATGCTGGCATCTTTCTAATTTGTAGCTTCTACCTTGGGACATAATTGTGTGGCAAAATACCATAGAGCAAAATAAGTCTATTTATTTTGTTATGGGCATGATTTTATAGTTGGTTGTATTTTATTTTTTTCATTAGGACCCTCAAAATAGACACATAAACCATTTTTGCTTCACTATCTACCAAAATATTAACATATTAGAGCCTGGAAGTAAAACAAAACCAAAATGAGGACACATTCACACAAGCAGGCTAAAACTTGTCAAGCAAACAGAAATGTCATGGATAACGGAGAGCAATTAATTTAATTACATATGAAAGGATACACTGAAATTCTGTAAAGAGTTAGTTCACCCAAAAATGAAAATGCCCTCATGTCATTCCAAGCCCAAAAGACCTTCGTTCATCTTCGGAACACAGTTTAAGATATTTTAGATTTAGTCAGAGAGTTTTCTGTCCCTTTATTGAAAATATATACACGTATACTGTCCTTGTCCAGAAAGGAAATAAAGACATCATCTAAGTAGTCAATGTGAGTGGGTTAGTTAGAATGTTTTGAAGCATTGAAAATATATTTTGGTCCAAAAATAACAACTATGACTTTATTTAGCATTGTATTTTCTTCCGGTTCTGTTGTCAATCTGCGTTCACGAGTCTGCAGTGTGCATGCTGATGACGTAAGACTGACGTGTTATCTGTTGTGCCAACCCAGTCTCATCCCAAGACGTCATATAACTGACGTTTTGGGACGTCTTTTGACCATACGTCAATATTCGCCTTTTTAGGGCCCCCTTAAACGTCGGTAGAGGTTATGGGATCCTAACTCTACCCCATACCTAAACCTAACCCTAAACCTAACCCGTCACCTAACTGACGTTAAAGGTAAAGCGTCAGTTGTATGACGGCCCGGGATCGCCATCTACCGACGTTTAAGGGGGCCCTAAAAAGGCGGATATTGACGTATGGTCAAAATACGCCCCAAGACGTCAGTTATATGACGTCTTGGGATGAGACTGTGTTAGTTGTGCCAGATAACTGGTTACCAGATACACGTCAGCAGCGTCACTGCGGACTCGTGAACACAGATCATGAAAAAAAACACTTTTCAATTATACCATTCCAGACCCTTGGTATTACCACCAGGCTAGTGTCTGAGCGGCTGTAGATAAATTATGCATTTCTGAAGAGTCAGAAACACCCAAATTAGGTTCTCTGATGACTTTATCTTTAGAAACAAGCAGGTGACCTTGACCCTTCAGAAAAATAAAAGAATTTGGCAAGAGGAACTGACAAAAACAGAGACAATCTAAAAATGTCTTTGTATTATATTATTGTATTGTGACTCATATATTTTTTTTCATTCATCACTTGAATTGTCCATAAATACAGAGATTAGCAGTTCACCACACATGCTGTTCTTTCATAGAGTTACAGACAGCAGGTCATGTTCTGGGCTGGAAGGGAAGGGAAGCACTACTTTGAAGAGGTTGTGCTAGTGTTTCTGAGAGGTTGCTTGAGCCAAGAGGAAATGTGCTCAACAGGGATCTTGACGTTTTCAGATGAGAGTAATAACCAACTCAAGCCAAATGTGGCATGCTGATGTTAGGAAAAATAGCTTTAGCACCACCAACATGCAGGGATGGACTTTTGCTTTGCTTAGGTCCGAATGAATGTTTGTGGCCATTGTGAAATGAATCCATTGTTAATATACAACAAACATTCACAACAAATATTCAGACTTGGTATGAATAGTACTTAAGGGAACAAGGATGCATTGGGAAACCGACCGCTTGCTGTGCTTTCATATTCTTGGCTGCTTGGTGGAAAACATAAAAACCGGTTAAATCTGCACAGGAGCAAATTTGGATTTCCCTGTCTCCTATCCAAAACAAAGTCTACAACTGTTTCCGGGCAACTTTATTGTAAGAGTGTGTGTTTGAAATCTCACAAGTCCCAAAGGCTCCAATCAATAGCTCGGCACTCAGCAGGGTGGCTTCAACTTTGCGTTTTACTCTGCAACAGCCTCTGATTAGCTCTCACACAAAGACACACGACACGGAGCACTGCGGAGAGAACAGGCGCTTCTGAATAATAGCAACACAATTGACATCCCTCAAGTACTGTATAAGTAGTTACAGGGAAGAATCCTCCCTGCTTTGCAACTCCACACACAGCCCCCTGTTTATTCCAATCAGGTAGCTAAAACATGTGTTTCTATAATTTATCACAATGGATTCAAAGTTTGAAGACATTTTAGTTAACTAAAATTTTAAAGAAAAATTTCACCCAAACAAAAATTATTTAATCTTTAACTGACCTTCATGGTGTTCCAAACCTGTCTGACTTTCACCAACGGTGTTGGTGTCATTTTCAAAATAATATGTTGTTGAATTCAAAGATTTTCTGAGTAATAAATTAATTTCGGGCTGTAAATCACATACATGGCAGATATTTTTTTTTATACTTGACATTCCTGATCCAGTGTTGTTATTGTTAACTAAAAATAAAAATAAAACGTTAATTGATACTAGACGAAAAACTTAAAATGAACAACTTAAAAATCTTAAAAATAAAAATGTTGCCATGGCAACTAGATGTCATGATAGGCTGCGCATGAACGATTGGACGATGAAGGAAAATAACTGACAAATTACTTACAATATAACTCTGTAACACAGGAGATCTGGACAAACAGTAGGATGCAACTACATCAACATAAAATCGGTAACCGGTACAGAACTCAAATCAGGAATTATCGACATGTCTCTGGTTTGGAATGTAACCATGGTTCCCTGAAAAGAGGAACAAGACACTGCATCCTAGGACGCTAATGATGAGGGCCTCCGACATGACTGGCGTCTAAAACATATGTCAAAACACAACAACATTGGCCGACAACAGCCTATGACGTCCCTAGAGGTCCCTTCCTTCCTGAATCCATTCACTCTAGAACCACATTTCCCATAATCCTTGTTTGTTCCCATCACTTGTGATTGTACCCAGCTGTTCTCATTTATGTTGTTAGTGTCTGTGCATAAATACCCTGGTTTCGTTAGTTCATGTCACGGAGACATTGTATTGTATATCACATGTCACCTCCAAGGTCTGTTTCTAGTCTGTTCTCATTTTTGATCTTGCTTGTTTTGTTATGTGTTATCTACCTGATTAAAGGGTTTTCGAAGATGTAATGGAGGACTACGATTCTGATCATTTGGATTGCATGGATGAGAACTTTTTGGATTGCCCTGACTATCCACCCAATTCTCCAATAGAGATCATGACAGAATGACTCCGTCCTCAAATGAATCCAGCAGCATGAACATTTTGCAGGCATTTGCTTTTGTGGCTCAGCAAAGGGAGGAGGCCATGGCGCTCAGATTTCATAAAGACTTCTCGTTCGACGAGAGAGAGTCCTTTAGAGGAAAGCGCCAGGCCAGATTTTGGGGAACCATGGAGCACGCAGAGGAGGAAGTACAAGAGGTGAGTCCTGGACTCAGTCTTTACTTCGGTCTTCCTTCGACCATGATCTGGTGATACGCAGCCTAGAACACCCTTCGCCGCGGGTCCTGTCCCATCCTGAACCTGCATGATGGAGGAGGAGTGCTTCTCTTCTCTTCAACATTCCGGAGGTCGTCTCTGTACAGACCGCTGGGATACAGAAGGTTGTTTCCATACAATCCGTGGTCATCTCATAGATGTTTCACGTCTCATCTTCACTGCTGGCCCCATCCAGCCCAGAGCCTTCACTGCTGGCCCCATGCAGCCCAGAGCCTTCACCGCTGATCCCGTCCAGCACAGTGCCTTCACCGCTGGTTCCAGTGGTCCCTAAACAAAGGAGAAGGAAGACTTCCTCTGTGACTGTCTCGGTAGTCCGGAGTCCGGTGGTCCCGAGTCCATCCCGAGTGGTCCCGGAGGCTGTGCCCGAGAAG